AACAAGTACTAAAATCAAAAACAGTGATTAAAGTATGATGATCTGTGAATGGGCAATCAGATAAATCTGGACAAGTAACAACATGAGAAAAAAGATCAGGAGCAGGAAATCTAGAAGAAGACCAAATATAATCCAAACGGGAAGCACCACTATCATAAAAATAGGTGTTATCAGGATTGGAACTAAGAGAGAAATGGGCTTGATGATCAATAAAGTAACGAGAAGTAAGTAAGCGTAATAATTTAAAATGTTGAGGAGAATATGATGAGTGAGCAATTTCATCAATATTAAAATCTCCTAAAATAACAACATAATAATTGTTAGAACAAGTAAAATCAAGCCAAGTAGTAAGTTTGGCAATAAGGTCAGCAGAGATGTTATAATGAATAGAACCAGAAGGGGGATTATATAAAGAAATTATAGAAATCTTGGTTTGATGAAAAAAAAGATCTATCTTAAGCAAATGACCTTCCCGAGAATCAATCGTTTAAACATGTTTATGAAGAGGGTTGCTAAGTAAAATACCAACACCATCATGAGGACGAGAAGAAGAAGAACAGGCCCAATAGGACCGAAAATTATGTTGAGAATGTTCAATTTTATAAATATTTTTAGCAGAAGCAGGGAAAAGGCGAGTATCATTTAAAGATAAGACACCAAAAGAGAAGTGAAAAAAGAAATTAAGCAAATGTTGTTGTCGAACCGGAGAACATAAACCATTAACATTAATTTGACCAAATTTAATAAGAGGAGAAGGGTAAGGAGAAAAATTATGTTTTTTGTTATCCATCATTATTACACTATGATAAAGAGCATAAAAAGTAAAAGAGGATAATTGAAATTTAATAATTATTGGGAGTTCGCATTATCGCGAGCAGCCAAGAATTGTTGTTGTTGAGCCATGCCTTGTTTAACTGTTTTGGTGAGTTCAGTAACAGTAGCAGTAAGAGAGAAAAGGCGGTCTTGTGGTGATGTGGCTGGGCCAGGGATCAAACTCATTCGAGAAGGGAGAGGAATATGTGATTGAGCAATAAAATTAGAACCTTGTTGTGGTGAAACAGGGAAGCTAAAATCCATGAGGTTGTCACTAAGACGTCTAGGATCAGAAGGTTCATTATTATCCCATCCTTGATCTATAGAATCAGTCACAGGAGGGAGGGGAACCTGAGGTTGTGAGGATCTTTGGATAGGAGAAGAGGAGTGTTGATCTTCTAACTATTTAACTCGATTTTGAAGTTTACCAAATTCTGTGGTAAGATGAGTAATCTCTTCAAGTATGATAGTGATTTGTTCAGTGATATATTGCCAATCCATTAGAAGAGGAACATCCATTGCAGCTATGTCGTGATCCAAATCAGAGTGAGAAGGACGTTGAGGACGATGACGATTATTATGTTAAGAGCATGAATGTGAAGATCTGGGACGGGATTGGGAGCAGGAAAGAGCTCTTCTACCAGCAGCATTAGCGTAAGATCTTTGTTCAGAATTAGCAGAGCGCGTAAAATGATTATGATGTTTGGCAGGATGAGAAGGAGTTAAATGTTTGTTATACAATTCACGCAACTTATCATTGCTAGACCATGGTCGGAAAGGACATTGAGGAGCTTGTGATAAAGCACATTTATCTGGATTACAACCAGGGCGACCACAACGATGACAAAGAGAGGAAATATCAGAAGGTTCATGCCAAGTAAGGCCAATAGATTTGAGAGCACAAGTAATATCCATGGCTGATTCTTTAGTAGCAGCAGAGGAAAAGTGCACATAGGCGTATGGCTTGGAATTATATGAATTGTAAGAGAAAGGGATGTTAACGCTTTTAGTGAAAATTTCTTTGGCAATTTCAGAAAGGTCAGCGGCAACTGAACTGCAGGGAAGGCTGGCAAGAAGTGCAACATGGACACGTCTGACAGCGCGTTAGTCAGGTGAATGAGAAGCAGGGCAGACGCGTAAGCAATGTCCAGTACAAAGAACAGCTCACGTGGTTTCAAATTGATCCATAGATGTGGCGGAGTCAAAAACTATATATGCAGTACGATAAAGTTTTGAAAGACACGTTTGGCAGTGGTAACGATACTATAACAGGAGAAAGTGCCCTTAATTGTGCATCAGTGACAAAGAGGGGGATGTCAGTAACTACCTGGGTACGAAGCTGTTCATCTACTTTTTTAGCAGATGGGTCATGTTCGTAAAACTGTAGATCATGCAGAAAGGTGATGGGCGCAGCGATAGCCTTTTCCATATGGAACAAAAATAGACAATGATAATTTTATTGTCGCCTGATCCTTGAGTGGTAGCCTTACTACCATAAGAGGAAAAAGAAGAGAATTCTCAGTCAGTCGCGTCGCAAGCTTCACGATTGGTTTTGAAGTGGGTCTAAAATCCTTCGATAATAGAAGGCACAGCCGCATGCGCAGCATAAAAGCGAAAGGGGGAAGATTGTATAGCAGTGGTGGACGCGTCAGGAGATGCAGCGCGTTCAGGTCCAGGAGCTGAAATTTCTACAGATAAAAATACATATAAAGGTCACATGTAAGTTTGCTTAACCATATTAGTAAAATTTCCAAAAGTCATAAAATTTTATTTGTATAGATTTTGAGATTTTTTAAAAGGTTATATATATAGTTTGCATAATAACAATCATTTTTATATATGTCATATATTTTAATTTGCGTAGTCAACGGTATTTTTTAATAAAAAATATATATATATATATAATTCCAGCAGTCTTCTACTAATTAGCTGCATAACGCCTTGGAATTCCAGCAATTTTCTACTAATTAGCAGTATAACGCCTTGGAATTCCGGCAATTTTCTACTAATTAGTAGCATAACGCTTTGGAATTCCAGCGATTTTCTACTAATTAGCAGCATAATACCTCGGAATTCCCTAATAAGCAGCATTACGCATAGTATAATACATAAATTTTTGAAAATACGTAATTGACAGCTAATCTGATTGATAATAGATAAATTTTTTTTCAATTTTTTTGACTTTTAACAGACTGTTTTATTAAAAGAAAAAAATAAAATAATTTTTTTTTGGTCTGTAACAAACCGTTTTATTCAATAAAAATTTTTTTTGGCCTTTACTGTTATATTTTTTTAACAACAGGCCATTTTATTAAAAAAAAAAATTTGGTTTAGAATGTTATTAATATTTCTTTTTATCAGGCATTTACTAATTGGTGATTTATGTTAGTACAACCAGTTACTAAGTTGTATAAAAAATACCTATTACGTAAGCCTGATAAAACAGTTACTCGGCACAACGTGACCTCATAACTGCGGCACTGTCATGCCTTACATGTATTTGCAATAAGAATATGATCAGTAAAATTTACTGAGCTGTGCTCAGTAAATCCCACCAATCATATTGCTTATTGTAAATACAATAGTTACTCAGCACTTCGTGCCGAGTAACTATTAATTATTATTTTTCTTTAAAAGCAACTTCTTAAATCTAAAATTTATTATTTTAGATACCAATATCATGGAAAAATATGAGTTAAGAGAAAAGTATAGTCAATTTTTTTTGGGAATATTACCATACTAATATTCCTTTTACTTTTTTCTTTGGAACTTGGAATTCAGATTGGAACTCCAATGCTTACTGTAAGTAAAGAATTTTTTAGCTTTATTTTGTTTATTTTAGAAGTATTATTATTTATTAACATTTCTATTGTTTTTTCTATTAGAAATGGTTTTTAGATTAAAACTAAACTGAAATTTTTAGTAAGTTGAGAATAGGGTGGAATTTTTTTTGTTTTATATGTGAAAGTAGTATTAATATTTTTTTTCTTTAGAAATAGGATTTTCTTTTAGAAATGATTTTATAAATTATATTGACTTTTCTTTAACTTTAAAATGTTATCAATATTCTAAGTTTTTGTTATAATTTATAAAAAAATAATGAACAATCTTTTTGTTTTAGTATTAATACTTGAATTATCAAATAATTAATTATAGTAGTATTAAAGATGTTAGCCGTAATTGATTGGCCGATGCCGTAATATTACAGCATACAGCATTACAGCTATGACACTTTTCGTAATACTGTAATTAGGCCGTAATGCTGTAATTGGGTCGTAATACTATAATTAGGCTGTAATGTCATAATTTTTAATGGCATAAAAATTTAAAATAAAAGTAATGAATTATAAAAGTAAATTACACACGTCAAATAAGTAAAAATCAGTCAAATATCGGACTGCCGATTTTTGGCTGTATTTGTCCGATTCGTGGCTTTATTCAGCCGATTTTATGGCGCGAATTGCTAAAAATAGAAATTCCTCTTTTTAATGACAAAAAATAGGAATGCCACATTTTAAACCATCATGCCAATTCAAACAATAATCGGACTGCCGACTTGTAAATAAATTTACAAAATATCATCACAATCAGACTGCCGGCATGAAAATAAACATGCTGATTCATAACATATAGAAGTGCCGATTTTTAAATCAGAATAACAAACATTTTATATTACCTGCTGATTCTTCAATAATCTCCCAAATCGGACTGCCTATTGTACCGATTCGTATAATAATTTTTCAAAAAATAAGTGCTGATTTATAAATTGGCACAACAGACTTATACTACCATGCAGATTCATGCAGTAATCATCCAAAATCGGACTGCGATAATCATGCCATTCTCACAAATAGAAATGCCGATATATAGATCAGTAAGAATAATACTTAAAATAATATATGCCTGTTTTTATTTCGATCACAAATAGATTTGAATAGAAATGCCAATTTATAGATCAGTAAGAGCAATACTTAAAATAACCTATGCCTGGTTTTATTTCGAGTAAGCCAGAATCTTTCTATTTTTGATTTTTTCGTAATTCATTATTACCCGTTTTTTTCTATTATTGACTGATTTTATTTTATATGAACACATTGTAATATACGTTTTTTTATTTTGCAGTTTATGATATATTTATTATTATATTCTTGCTATATTTATTATTACTATGTGCTATAATCATCTTACTATTTTCTTTCACTTTTTAAAAGAGAACGTTTTTTAGTAGTTGATCCCCTAATAATTTCTTTTGGAACTACTAGTCGAAATGGATCATCCTTTTCATCGCTGTCATCGATAATAATATAATCATTATTATCGGTTTTCTTATCGTCATCATTCTTATCGTCATCATTCTTATCGTTATTATCATCGTTAACGTTATTGTCTTTTTTATTGTTACTAGCATTGTTTTTATCTTTGTCGTTATTGTCGTCATTGTTATCTTCATTGTTATCTTCGTCACTATTATCCTCTTCATCACCATCTTCTTCGGATTCTTGTGCAATCCAGCTTGACGAAATCCACCAACTGGGAATGTTCTCCTTTGGTTTGCTTTTTTTGTCAAAATTTTCTTCTGAGCGGTAACGTGGTCGATTTAGACCAGATCCGATGCTAATACCAATTTCTTCCGATCGATGTAGAATTTTTTGAATCTAATAAAAATTTATAATTTATTAAGCATAAATGTTATATTCATTAATAACATCACGACTTCGCATACTCCCGACGACCGCCACTTCTTGTCGTAAATCTTTATTACTGAATTATTGTTAATTAATCTTCCTGATCTTGTATTTTTACTGCGTTCTTTGTTTGCTAATTCCTCATCTTCTGTGGACCATTCGTCCGAGTGTATGTCTGAAGTATTAGTCATCTTTATACAATCTTTGATAAATTCTTCCCATTTTAAGTTACGAAGTTGGCATTCAGTCAAAAGTTTATCTTGTGTCGATATCATGTGCTGCAATCCTCTTCTACGCCGGGACATCTTCTATTGAAGAGTAAATTAAAAAATTAATTAATTGTATATGTTTTTATTATTAAATAATGAATTTTATACCTGATCCCTTCTGGATATCATGTGTTGTCTTTTGGTATGTTCCGGCATTTTACCCTCTTTTTGCAGTTTCCAAATCTCTCGGCGAGATTTATGCAATTGTTTTATGATTCTTACTATCTCTATATTATATACTACAATAGAAGGGTTCATGGCCGATTTTACTGCTGGCAAAAGTTTTCTTTCTATTGTTTTTTTTTGTTTACTGTACGTCTTTAATAGGTCGAATTGAAGCGACTGATTAAGATTATTGAGAATATGGACTACTTCATTCTATTTAATAAAACAGTCATTAAATGATCAAATATTTAATTTAATAAAGATAAATTTTAATAAAAATGTATATTTACGTGAAGTGTCTTCTTATAATTACTTGACATGAGTGGCAGCTCACGTTTCTGTTCTCTAATAAGAATAGGTGATAAGCTTCTATTGGGACGATTAACTAAAGGTTCTTCATGACTAGCATTTTTTTCGGTTAGGTTATTTA